TTTCACGCTTGATTTAATCATGGCAATATTTGTCTGTTAAAAAATAAGTAAATAGGCGTGTTCTGGAAGCAATATGCGTAATGAAGAGGTATATAACAGTTTTCAGCATTTCTTTATTGCACATTGTTGTTAAACACAGTGCTATGGTGGATCAGAAATGAGGAGGAGTACATTTTACAACCTTTGGACACTTACAAGTTGAAAACCACAGCAAATACTATAAAAGTGACAGTGGCAAATTCAAGAACTGATACAAAGTCTGTCGGACACAAGCCACTTCGTGCCATACAGTGGCACTGGAAGAATTCTTTAAAAGATACGTACATGTTGAAACTAAATAAAAGTGAAGACATTTGTGAAAAAACATTCATTGGGTATAATAAAGATTTTGCTAAACTTGAAAACGTTGTTATCGATCCAAGTAAAGGAAAAGGAAGACGAGGCGGTGAAAATGTATCCGACGTTCTAAACCAGAAGGAACAAGATGAATATTTTGTGCTAGAGCCGGGATATTTCCATGTGCAATGTAAGAAACATGAGAACTTTAACTTTACTTCACGGTCACATTTGAATTCATTGCATGACGCTGTTGGTATTGGAGCAATGCCAAAGTATGATGAAGTTATACCGGGATGGACGGTTGCTGTAATACGGTATGAATATGTTAACCTTTACCATACCATGACAGACTTTTACAATACATTCCTCGTTGCCAAGGTTTTTAACATCACGCAAGGTCACATGACAATTTTATGGTTAGATGGACATCCATGGAGCGGTCTGGATACAACGTGGGAAACATTGTTTGGAAAAGTTTTACGGGCGGGGGATATAAAGAAACCGTGCTTATTTGAGCAGATGATATGGGGAATTATGGGTTACCACAGTCCGTTGACTCGACATGCTGCTTACAGTGCACCTTATTTAGAAGAGTTTAGAAAATACGTTTTAATATCTCACGGTATTACAAAAACAAGTGCTCTAAATTGTAGACGATTGCAAATTACAGTGATTTGGAGACGGGATTATTTAGCTCATCCACGAAAACCTTCTGGTCTTGTAACAAGAAAAATAAAGAATGAAGAAGAATTTTTAGAAAAAATAAAATCAGTTTTCGTGGGACATGATATAAGAGGTGTTCAAATTGACCTGTATAACATGACTGAACAACTTGAAATGATTGTAGACACGGACATTCTCGTGGGCATGCATGGTGCCGGATTGACACATGTCCTATTTTTACCGAAGCATGCCGGGGTTGTTGAACTATGTCCGAGTTACTGGAAAAAGGACAAAAAACATTTTGTAACATTTGCTAGATGGAGAAAAATTCCTCATCTGTTATGGTACAACAAAGATCGGAAAAGAGAAATAATGAGACATTCAACAATAGTAGATGTTGATGCTGTAACAAATTTGATAGTGAATATGAATTCTACAATTTGTGGTGAATCATCAAAACACAGTCAAAAGAGAGATAAATTGCACAATTGAGTTAAAATATGGTTAATTTCCATAAAAGCATGTCTAATACATTCATGTGTTATTTCTTTGATTTAACATTTTTATTATATTTCCTTTCAAAATACATCTATCGTATGTCTTGTTGTCACAGATTATTCCGGTAAAAGAAAACAACAGCTTTTGCATATTAATATGTTTTTCATTTCAAATTCATAGTGAATAATGAGTTATGATTAATGAGAGCTTAAGAAAAAGCAATGTCTTTTATTCGAAAACCGAAGTATATGGTAAGCATGTTCGGTTAAAGAAATTCTTCTCCACATGACCCTTCACAAATGTATGAATTTCACAACCTATTCTTAAATTAAAGAGCACATGTCATTATGTGTGAAATATTCTATTGTTTTTTTTCAAATAGAAATATTAGGGAGAACTATGAAGCAGTCCTTAATGTATTATTTTACTACTGTGCATATTAAGCTTACGCATTTAAAACATAAAGCAGAATGTCTCTAGAATCATGATAATTTTCATGAACATCCTGATAATGTATTTAAAAATAAAATATTGTGGACTGAAGTAATTTTCACAATACAAACGGATTTTCAATCCATGTAAATAACCACGAAGAGGCCAAAATATGCAAAAAATAACCTTACTGCTTTAGTCACGGAATAGCAATGGACAAAATAGCAAAATCTGTCATTAATCTGTCATTAATCGCACATTAAATGTAAATCATTACTTGAATCTTGAATCTTTTTACTTTCCTTTGATACATAGAACATTTTTCTCAAGTTTGATTTTAATTTCTTGAAGCAATCTATTATGGTAGACTGCATCGTTCTAGTTGGTTGTTAACAATAAAAGAAACATGCATAACAAAGTTTAAATTTATTACAAATACATTTTTATTGCAACATAACCTGGACGTCTGACATACTTTTAATACAAGCCACACTATAGCATAGTATAAATGACGGAATTCTAAAACAATCTGATAAGAAAAATAAATATTTTCTTTTTGGAAAATGGCACTTAGAGTTGTAAAAGCAAATCCCTGCATTAGCTATCATTTTCTTTATAACAAAAAAAAATTTAAAACAAAAACAGCATGCGATAAATATAAAGAAATTTTAATACAACAAAATCATATCGGTCAGCCTCGCAGTATTGTTATTCATATCAATCGTGTTAGCTACCACCGAACCTCATCTTCATTGGTCATTTTGCAGAAGTAGTTTGAAAGATTTAGAACATGGAATGTGTGTTGGTTCAGTACTGAATTTATTGAATAAGTTGGGTAATATTACTTTATTCAACGATTTCAATAAATTTAGTAATGAACCTACACTAATATAATGTTCTATTCATCACATTCCTAAAGTAAAATCTGTTAACAGTAAAAATAAATCGCTTTTTACTGATGCCCTTATAGCGTTACGCTAATATTTAGCGCGTCTTTACGCTATGTTTCTTTATCGCAAAAAACGTCACGTCATAATAAATGCACGACAAAGCAATACTGTTTTGACGGAGTCGCAACAAAGTATGTGATTAGAGACTTTGGAAAGCGCACGCTCTATTAAAGAGCCTTTTCATTAAGAAAGTACTTTTAATATCAATATATTTTTATATATTTGTTTTTGCATATTTATTGCCGTTAATTAGAAACCAATGTATTTTAATTTAATTAAGTATAAATTAAAGAAAGTGCGCATGAAAAAAACGGTGCACCAAAAATCGAAACTTTTGCCTACGCAATTATGTATGGACTGCTGCATTTAACATATTAACGATTTTTCATCTTACTGTAATAAATTTGTGATTTTATTTTATTGTTTCTGAACTGTCGCGTTACTTTCGTTATGGCACTTTTGCTTTTGAAATCATTAAAATTTCATTCACTCATTTTGATAAGTTAGTTCAACGTGAGTAATTGATGTTTTCTATGAAGTTAAATGTGATTTCATTTAATAGGTTTTGAAATTGATCCTACAAAATCTTACTCGGAACACGAAATGTGATTCTTCAGTTACACGTCATATCAGAGTAGTGGATTTTGAACAATGATATACAATTTATAATATTTAAAACATGTATGAAATATCAAGTAAATACCTTCGAAAGTAATGAGCTATGCATGTTTTGTGAGGACTCGACCTCGCTAATACGGTGTCAGACCCCAGTTTAGTATAGGTATAATCAGTATAGTCTAGAATCATTAAAATGGCATACCAAAATACTCTTTTCAAAAATTCGAACAAGAACATCTACAATTTTTCGCTGTACGTAAATTAAATTCAAATTATTTACTTAAAAATGCAATTGACGTTTGGGTACGTTTTCAGATGAGTAAATTGGTTACACACAATAAGGATTATCTATCTAATATTTTATAATATAAAAAACATTGATTTATGACATACCTCGTGTACCTTAACGTATGGTTCTCCCTCTTCGACCAACGAGTTATTTGTCTTGAGGTGCCGAAGCCACTGCGTTATATAGTTATCGTTCGGTTATAATCCAGTAATGTCTCCTCACTTCTCGGAGCGTGCACGTCGCGGAGAAGACACAGGGCATCGGCAAAAGATCGAAACTTGTACTGCGGACCAGCTGCCGATGTCCTGCTAATACCGAGGGGAGTGGCCCTACAAAGTAGGCTTTAGGTCGACGACGAGGATGGTGCGTTAGGGTGCGTGAGCCCCTAGTACGGATATACGGCCTTTTGCTAGCACCAACATCGCTTTTAAAGACTACCTCCTTTCATGACTTCTCAGGTTATTGCACATTTAGGTTCTTATTGGCCACCGTACAGTGACCTACTTTTGACTCAAAATTCTTTGGCTAATACTCCGTGGAAATTGCATGGAGGTAAATTATCACCACTTGGTGCTTCACAATTAACTCTTTACGGGCATGACAGGTGACATGTCCGGGGTCCGTACTCAACAGCGAAAGCTTCATTTTTGCCTTACTGGTCGGATTGGCCCTCATTGAGCATAGACTACATACATACATCCAGTAATGTAAATGTTGCATTTGCCTCAATTTCAACTACCTGGTTCTCCCATCCGTTAACATTGGTGCGATTAAAATATCCAAATAAACGTAAGAAGAATTTACAAAAATATGGCACTTGATAACTCCGGGACGCAAATCTATAATTTGATTAAAATGAGTGAAGGTTTCCAATAAAATTTAGCTCTTAATTCTACTATTCCATAATAAAGTTTGAAATTCCACGCATGGTTTCGGTGAGCTTTTCTGGAAAAAACTATATTACAAATATATACATACCATTTTCATATTTGACATTTTTATTTAAATAGAAATTACAATTTTTGTGGTCATGTGCAAAGATTATTCCGTATACTTGTTGAAAGCACGGCACGCATATTTTCCACTGTCATTTATCTCCAGGTCTTTTATCAAGGGCGTCTATAACCTTAGATTCTATAAACCTAACGTCATTTCACTTGGACTGTTTACAAGTGCTTTTTTCTTAAATTCTTTTATCTATATATGATTATTCTTATAATATAATATAATAAAATATAATAATTGGATAATCGCGACGTTTATACAGATCTTTTAAAAATTTACTCATGAAATATGGTTCTATATCAGTTAAATATATATCATAATTGTGGGAAAAACAATGAGAAATAAATATGAAAGTGGGCGAAGTCAAAACTCATATTTATTTTTGGGACTACTTTCTGAGACGTTTCTCTGTTGCCGTCTGTAGTTTCAAAGTTTCATTTCATCATCGGAAATTATCTGCTTATGTTTTAATTTTCAATACGGTTCAAGATTGCTGTGATAAATTGTGTATTAAATTCGAAGCGCGTAACGAACCTATAATTAATCAACGTATCACTGCGCGCTGTTTAAATGCACCTGCGTAGCAAATATGTGTATTCGTAAAGAACCTTTTCCTTTAAGGTAAAATAAATAAAATCGTTATTTTTTCGTTACTCGATAAATATCGAATATATGATGAAATTCTATATATCTCACTCGTCGTTCCGGCTCGTGAAATATTAAGAGGATATTTTTCGTTTGAGTGAAATATGGAATATATTTTCACGAAACATGATTAAATGCCACATATTTTCGCGAGCCGGGACGGCGAATGAAAATATGTGACATTTTATCATGTTGAGGAAAATATATACCATATTTCACAAAAAAACCCGAAAAATTTCATTATCAAAGAAAAATGGTTACGAACCCCCTTCCTTGCTACGCAACTGCAAATGTACAGCGCGCAGTAATATAATTATTGTCTTGATTTGCACACGATATTTAGCGCTACTTTGTGACGTCACGTAAATAACTCTTTAAACGTCTATACAGCGTTAATCCCTGAATTAAAGATATTGGTGTTCGGATTTATTTTCTTAGTTAGGCCATTTTCTATCATTCTAGGTAGTTTTCACAACAAAATTCAACTAAAAGTTGTTTTGTATTTATCAGATTTTTCAAACAAAAGGGCGAAAAGTCTCTTAAAATAAATATGAGTTTTGGCTCCGCCAACTTTCATATTTATATTTCATATTATTTTAAAAAAAATTGAAATATATTTGACTGATATAGCACCATATTTCATGGGTAAAATTAAATAAATAGAATTATATCATATTTCGTGAAAATATTTTCCATATTTCACTCAAAAGTAAAAGTATCCTAATATACACGGCTGCTGATTATTAAGAAATCTAACTTTCTTCTATATATATATATATATATACGATTGTTTGCAAAATAACCATTGCCTGGAGGCTCAGTAATATTTAAAAATAAACGTTTATATACGGCCATATAACCTGTCATAAATCTTTATAACTAATATACACGTTTGAAGCGTGGGATTTTTTTTATTTTCGAAAGAATATATTTATCGCATGTTGAATGCTCAAAGTGGAGTGAGGAAAGTTCAGTTTTGAATGCTCACGGCGGTGTTAAGAAAGTTTAGTATAAAAAGCTCACGGCGATGTTCGAGGTGTATTCATGGTTGTACG